GGGGGGGGGGGGTGGGGTGGGGGGTAAAAGGGGCGCAAATCACCTCAAAGAAAAAGATATTCCTCCACGTGTGAATGAGGCCCCATCTCGGGATGCTGCTTAACCCGATGGCCAGAAGACCACCAAAGGCGCCACTGGCACTCGCGGCGGAGATATAGATACTGGTCCGGAATCCGAGCTCGTCTCTGCGGTAAAATTGCGAGAGGAGCCAAACCAGGCCGGGCGATATGCCGCCTTCGACACAACCTAGGAGAAAGCGTAGGGCATAAAGGCTGTCCCTGTTCTCGACAACCGAGGTGCAAATGGTGAGCACCGAGAAGAGAAACACCAGGAACGGAATCCAGATGTGGCCCCCAACCTTCTTGCAGACAATGTTAGACGGCAGCTCCACCACGCAATATGAAACGAATAAACACATCAACGCGATGTTGTAGCGAAGTCCGACGTCTAGCGCCAGGTCAGTCTGCAGTCCCAAGATCCTGGCATTGCCGATGTTGACTCGGTCTATGAAGCTGAAGAGGTTGATGAGAAGGAAAACCGGAAGGATGCGCAAGTCGTATTTGCGCACCACGCGTTTTGCAAGGGCGTTGTCGATAACGAGAGTCTCCCTGGTTGCGCCCAATATCTCCTTGTGGGCGCCAGGACCAACAGGGCCTTCATGGTGGGTGATGGTGTCCTTGAACTCCATGGCGGCGCCTCTTTCCAGTGTATTGGTATTCATTGTCACTTGTTGGCGGCGACGCATGACAATCCCAGGCAGCACCGTCCCATGGCTGAAGGTGAGTATTTATCGATTTATTTATTGATTGATTGGCAAAGGGCGTCCCAGGATTAGCAAGCTAAAACATCGGAAGCGAGGTGATCTTGGCACCCCACATTTGCGGCCGATATTTCTGGGGAAAGGATGCGGGGGGGTCCTTCCTTTCTTCCCCACATTCTCGCTTCCGAGAATTTCATCTTGTTGAATTGCGCTGAACTGGGGACCACTCTCGCGGTGGGGTCAGTCAGAATGACCATAACCTTGTATGTAACCCGGTCTCTTGGCCAGTGTAATTGCGGGGGAACTAACCGTGATTGGTTCAAACTTTTAGATGAATAAGGGAGATGGTAGGGTAAGAGTGAATCCGGGCTCAAGTCTCATCAGACGTTGATAAGACGAGTCAAGATTCACAGGTTTCGATACGAAGCGGAAGCATCAAATTGGTTGAACTGTCGTTAATCCTATGAAGTGACCTAAGGTGCCTTGCCATCGGATCCAACTAGGACGAACCCTCTTTCCCACATCAGCGTACTACTGGTCAGGTCAGGTGACTTGGGGTACCTGCAACGGGCTAAGGTAAATCAATCCATCTCTGGCGGGGTTCGTCCGCCGGGGTGTGAAATCGCCATGCACCGCTCCAGTTGCCGGAACCGAGTTCAATGAGCCTTGCGCCCGGCGGTGCAGACTTGCCCCATGATCGCGCGGAAGCAGAACAAGAGCTGCGATGAGTGTCGTCGCTCGCGTATCGGCTGCGATGCCCGTCTCAAGTCCGGCCTGCCATGTTCGAACTGCGAGCGCCGAGGGAAGGCTTGCAGCACTGACGTGAGTCCCTCAACTGGCCACTGGAAAATCCCAAACAGCTAATAAATCCTCGCAGTGGCTCATCAGGCGCAGGGAGCTTCGTGGGAGGGCCCGCAGCCAGAAAGCATCACCTGCGCAAGACGACAGTCCCGTTTTGCCAAGCCGCGTTTCTACGACTCCATGTCAGACCGAACATCGAGAGCAAGCTCTGCGTCTCCACCATGCCCTTTGGGACATCTTCACATCCCTTTTCGAGCCACGACTCGGGTTGTGGATCGGTAACGAGTGCAACCCTTTCAAGCGCTTGACCACGGTTAGACAAGAGAACCCTCAACCCCCAACCCGCAACCCCCCCTTCTGGCTCAGCTTTGCTAACGCACGCAAAGGCGCCAAAGACACTCGTTTCGCGTTTGATGGTGACCCTAGATGCTGCTAGAAGTTCACTCAATGCTGACAGCTCAACTGTCGACACCTTGCGTTTGCCCATCGATACTTCTGCCCGCGAGGATGATACAGGTGCAACAGAGGCATGCATCAATCAAGCCCTGATGAGTGCTGTCCATGCCTTCTCCGCTCGCTGGCTGCCCATGAGCTTGTTTGAGGACGCAGGTCAGCGCAGTGAAGTAGGACGGCGGCGACTCATGCAGGCACTATGGAATCAAGCGCATCGTGACGCTCTGCTGATTCTGACCTTGCCGAGCTATCGATCTATTCTGGCCCTCTACCTATTTGCCATCACTCCGTCACTTGGCCCTGCAGACAGCCAGATGGTCAGCCAACTTTGCTACGAGACCTCTTTACGACACTATCTCCACCTTAGAATCAAGACGCGAATCTCCACCATCCTACCAGGTACGGAACGTGAGGAGTTTGGCCATCTCGAAGACAGTGCCTACTGGTTTGGTCTCGTCTGTGATATTTCGAGGAGCCTGTTGAGATGTCAACCGCCGGTGCTCATCTGCGGCCCCAGCTCACAAGCACGCGTGTGGGCCCTGGTCTCTCATCAAGTCGACGACTTTGCAGCATATACCACCGGCAATGGCCCGACAACGGACCTATTAAGCGACGCCATGGTGTTAAAGATTCTACAGCTAGGAAGCTCATGCAAGACTATGTGCTGGGCATCTGTCACTGATGTACAGGACTCGTTGTTTTACAACCGTACCAGCCTGACTCCACAAGCAGCCCTCAAGTTCTGCTTTAGCAAGCTGAGGCAATTCGAGACTGTCTTTGGCCCACACATGGAACGCATTGCTCGGGATTTCATTCTGCTCAATGAGAAGAGTCAGCTTGGTTACAGTAAGTCGCTTCCTCGACACCTGGGTGTTTGGATATGACTGGGCTGGGCCGTCTGATTGTGGATGTTTGGGGATTTTGACTTGTACCATTGGGACGGTCAGATCCACTGAACATGGTCATTGCGATTAGTGGTGCAACGTACTGACGGCTGCAGTTTGGCTTGTCCTCCATTTCCACCTTGGTATTCTGATACTTGCAGACACCTTGGCTGCAGGATTGGCAGATACGTTGGTTGACGAAGGAGTTGCAATAGCCGACTACAGGCTGGGATCTGTCCGCGCAATTGTCAATACGATCAATCTCGTTCAACAGTTCGATAACCTCAACCCGCACCAAACCAGCTTGCTTCTGCGGGACCCTTATCCAGAGCATGCCAGCAACGCCATGGCTCGAGCAGCAAAGTCGGTTGTGAGCCTGACAAGAACCGAAGCCATAACAATGGCCGCCGCATCTGTCTTGGCAGGTTCAATCATGCAAGCGCTACAGGTTGTGGCTCATATCTCTTTCAGCGCGTCACAGGCTCTCACAGATCTGCCTATACTTCTCCGAGAAAACAATATAGCACTGCCCATCAGCATTACTGGTGGCAATAATTCAGCTGCGGCTGCGGCTGCGAATGCGACGATGTCATTGGACTCGGCAGTCACCCCAGAAATGTTGGAGAATGAAACGCTGAGAGAGCTCGGGCAGCAAGCTGCATCAGACCCCGGTCTTGTGCTGAAGACAATCGAACGCCATGAAACAGAAGCTCCGGGGTCGACACCGGACTTTGGTCTTGACTATCTACAGTTTATTGATTTTTCTGCCGTTGCAGAAGTTTGGGATTTCGATGATGTATTTTCTGGCAGCTGAGAGTGAGCTAAGGCAGCATTCGATACAAGCCCTTGTCACCGGCAACAGTCCAGTCTCTTGCACGGAGAATTTGTTTACGATTTTTGTGGACGGCTTTTTCTCTATGACAATGTTGCTCCACCTATCAGGCCCAATTAATGCAAAAAGGAAAGAAAGCCTTCTAGTATGCACAGTGGTTTGATCACAAACGCTACACCGCAGGCAACACTTTACCACGACTTTCCCCGAAGCCGAACAGAACCTCGCCCGTTTCTGGTTGAATTGCCCATCCTTCCAACACAACCTCGTCACCGTCCTGGAGGAAGGTCTCGATGATATCTGGTGGAGCAGTTGTGAGCTCGTTGCCGGTCAGCTTCCTCTCATACAAGCATCCAAGTCCAATCTTCTCGCCAGCTCCGTTGGTTCTCTGTGCAATATGTCAGCCTTTTTTTTTTTTTTTTTTTTTTGGCCAGAGTTCGAGTCCGACGTGGGAACTCACTGCACTCGATATTGTTCCAGTTCCAAAGAGATCGCCAGTAGAGAGGCCTTCGCCGGCGCTTCCAAGATGCGTCAATTGCTGAAACGGCGTCCAGTGCAGCTCATTCAAGTTGCTCTGGCCGATTGCATACATCTTTCCCTCGCCTGCAATAGATCAGCGACAGCTCAAAACCGTTTATGTAAAGATGGGCTCACGAATTAATTTGACTGATGTCTCAATGTTGAAAGTCGCCTTCTCATCGCTGGGCGCCTTGAGATGTGGAAGTGGAGCCGGCTCCTGTGGTGCATGGCGAGGGCAAGCGACCGCCTCCAAAGCCTCAACGGGCACTATCCAAGGTGAAATAGACGTTGCAGAGCCCTTGGCATGGAATGGACCGAGCGGAGCCATCTCGAAGAACTGTGTATTCCTCGAGGACCAGTCGTTGAGCAACACCAGACCAAAGATTGACTCCTTTGCGTCTTGGATTTGCAAACGTCGACCGCGAGGAACGGATTTGGACAAGAATATACCCATTTCAAGCTCGAAATCAAGGTGGGTTTCGGGCTGGAAGGCCGGGGCTGTTACGCTGCCATCGTTGGACGCAGGGAAGACACCGAGAGGTCTTGTTATAGGAGTCCCGGACACGACCAGACTCGATGTTCGTCCGTTGTAGACCGAAGGTATCGTGAACCAGCTCGGGCTGATTTGATTGTTGCCAAAGATTGCAGTACACTGCGGCCTGTCAGAGATTGCGACGTGGAGGACTGGAACACTTACGTTCTTGGTATGCTCGAGAGAGCAGTAGACTTCCGCCTCACAGTCAGCTTACATATGGGACTCCTTGTTTCTGTCCACTGCATGTCAAGGACTCACAGTCAGAGAAGTTACGCGTGTCCATAGGAAAGTGCATCTCGACGGCCTCCAGCGGATGAAAAGTATCTTTTGTCTCAGCTTCCTTGGTGACATCGCCTTTTGACAGAAGCTCAATCAGCTTTTCTCGAACCTGTAGTCGGCTAGTCTTGGGCAAAGCAGCGAAAGCGTTAAGATTGTCCTGTAGTGAGTATGTGAGTAAAAGGGTCTTGGCCAATAAAAATTGGGTATTCTTGGCGCGCCAACATTGTTGAAGACATGCTCCTCAAGACCCTCGATACCGTCGAACACACCGGACCGCCAGAGCACGTCAAGATCTACCGCCCATTCGTTGAATGCGACTGCACATCTCCGGGTTGCGTTGTCCTGGGTGGAATTAATGCCATATGGTAGGTTGTGAATAGTGAAGGGACTACGATTCGCAGCCATTTTGCAAGGGTGACTGAAATCTTGGGTACAGATGCTTGCAAATGGCGTCGGGTTAACGGATAGAAGGAATGTAATGTAATGAGTAGAATGATGGTCTGAGCATGCCACATCGGCAGCCATAGCATCTATCTGGTGGTCGGAAGACAAAGAGACCATAGGTTCATGAACCGAGGTTCCGATCACGTGAACGGAGTTCTTCTTGGCTGTACGACTGGTCTCGGAAGTCGTCTTCCACTAGTTAGGTCCGACAAGGAGCACGATTGCCAAGCTAGTAGCAGTTCGGATATTCCCATTCCCATGGAAACCATAAAACCCAAGCTTGATGCAGATATATCCAACACTCCCTTGAAACAACCATCCCACTCGAGTCCTACCTAGTCCTTCCCGCTTCCCACCGACAAAGACTACCAGCACAATGTCAGCACCTGCGAACGGCACAAACCAGCAACTATCCAATCTCCCTCCCCTCCGCCGGCTCGTCACAGGCCACAACCCCTCCACCGCAAAGGCCGTCGTCCACTCTGCTACAGACTTCTCATGGCAACCGTACGACGATAACAAAATGGCCTTCTCTGTCGTCTACACCACCTCCCAATTCCCCGCAGATCTGAACGGTGACGCCGACATCGCCGCGCACGACAACCTCACGGCATCCAACAAGCTCGGATTGGTCAATTCCAACGGCACAGTCATCCGCTGCGTCGACTTTGCGCCGGGCTACCGCTGCGGCATGCATCGCACCCAGAGTTTGGATTACGGTATCGTGCTAGAAGGCGAGATCGACATGGTGCTCGACTCGGGGGATGTGGAAAGCATGAAGAGGGGTGATGTCGCCGTGCAGAGAGCGACGAACCACCAGTGGGTCAACAGGAGCACAACGGAGTGGGCGAGGATGATGTTCGTGTTGCAGGATTGTAAGCCGTTGCAGGTGAATGGGGAGAGGTTGGGCGAGGATCTCGGCGAGGATCTAGCGTTCTTGCCGGAGAGTGGGAACTGAGGAGGTTGGGTGATCTTTGGTAGAGGCCGCGATGGAAGCAGGCCAGTGTTTTAGGTTCCCCTGGGAGGAGAAAGGCAGCTGGGCGGCTTGTCGGGCACACGAGAACGAGTTAGGCGTGAGACCAGGTATCTTTATATACTTCATTCGCATTTGCAGTGATTTACAGTCACAGTGAGATATACCTACTTGACTTTACTTACCCTACTCACTTAAATATACACCGACCAGTCTTTGAGATGTATAGTTGATTTGTAATTAGTTGTATTAATATGTAAAGGTCTTGTGAACGTTATTTATAATCTATTGCTTAAGTTATGAAAGCCCTATCTATTAATATATGTTCTTGAATATTATAGACGATATGCATTATAACGGGTGAGTTAACTAGGTATGAAAATTGTGCTCTTTCAAAGGTAAGTCTGGTATTGAATAGAAGCTAAATCTTGGCTTTAGCAACTTGAGAAGAGCTGGAGACTACTGCAATGCGGAGAAAGCAAGGACTCTGCCAGTAGCTATGTCTCGCCGGGTCACTGTATGCTAGATCCCCGAGAGATAGAGCATATTCATTTCCAGCACGTATAAATCGTCATGTGAATTCTTGATGCGCCTGGAATCGGGGTGTAGTGGAATCAGCTGGCAGGCAAATGGAGTGGTGTAATGACCTGACTCGTATTTTGCCCCGTGACCTACGTTGCCAGTGGGTGTTTGCGTGCTCTAGGTGCTAGTACCGGCAATCGCTTGCACTGCATCCGGTTGATTTCGGCCTACTCAAGCGGGACTTAAACACTCGTTATCTCTCAGACAGGCAGGTCCAAAAACCCACGCCGGGCCGGGTTCGCTGCGCTGCTGATAAATAGCCGGTATCGCGGATACTTCCCGGTCTCGGAACGACAGCGGAGCACCGAGGCCCCACGTTCTGACAAAACGGTGGATGGACTAATACCCAGTCATTTTACAGTTTCAGCCTATGAGAGTCCACCAATCCGTTATCGGCAACCCTCTACCGTGGACACTCTTTATTAAATTGAAGCGATACACTACGTACGGTATTAATAACACTTTGCTGCACACCAAGCCCGGGAGTACCCTCTAACCCACCTATTTCCATTTCTTAACCTTGTACGACATACACAACCAAAAGTCATCATCAGCATGGGCGATCTCGCAAACCGCCAAAGCCCTCTGGCAGGCGACAAACTCTTGGTATTCCTCTCGTCACCGGAGAACACGGAATGGACACGCAGGATCTCGGAGCGCTTCCCCGGCCTCAAAGTCTGTTGGGAGTCCAACTTGAAGCCCGGCGGCGGCTTTCTCTTGCCAGACGAACTGTCGGATGAGGTGTGGGATGGCGTGACGATATTCATGGCGTTTAATCCGCCGTCCCCGCATCGCATGTCCAAGGTCCGCTTCGTGCAGTTGACCTCTGCCGGGGCGGACAGGTGGCTTGACCACGAGGTCTATAAGGACCCCAATGTTTCGTTTTGCACAACAAATGGCTGCCATCCGTGAGTGCTGATCCCAAAACCATGGGCATCTTGCGCGCGCACGAGACTCGGATCACTGACGTGAGAGTGACAGGCCGCAGATTGCGGAATGGGTGATTGGTACATGGCTAGCTCACCAGCATCATTTCCAGCGATATGTCAACCACATGAAGGAGGGGTTCTGGGAGGGGCCCATGGAGGTAGACTTTGAAGACTCAGTCGGCCTTCGCATGTAAGTCCCGATCCGCAGTCTATGATCCGCAGGCTGTAAGGAGGAGAAAAGTCGGCGGCTAACCAAGTTGCCTCCAGGGGCGTTTTGGGTTACGGCGCAATAGGTCGCCAGTGCGGTAAAGTCGCGCAAGCGATGGGGATGGAGGTATACGCGTACACCAGAGGCGAGCGCTCGACCGCCGAGTCTCGCAAAGACGACAGCTACTGCGTCCCCGGGACCGGGGACCCCGACGGACTGGTACCGGCCAAATGGTTCCACGGCGCATCCAAAGAGGCTATCAACCACTTTTTGAGCCAAGACCTGGACCTCTTGGTGCTGGGCCTGCCCCTCACCGAGGAAACCAAAGGGCTCATTGGCAAACAGCAATTTGAGATTCTATCGAAACGCAAGACGTTTGTTTCGAATATCGCCAGAGGTCCCCTCATTCAGACGGATGCCCTCATTGAAGCTCTCGAGGGTGGCAAGATCCGGGCGGCTGCGTTGGATGTTACGGATCCGGAGCCGCTTCCGAAGGATCACCCACTGTGGAAGGCGCCGAACGTCTTCATCACGCCTCATGTCAGTTGGAGAACGGATGGGTACTGGGAACGAGTTTTGGGAGTCTTGGAAGCGAATTTGGAGCGCATAGATGCCGGCAAGCCTCTTATTAATGTGGTGAACAAGAAGCTGCATTACTAAGTAGGTATCCTTGACTGCTGTCTACCTAATCGATTTCAAACGAAGCAATGAACCAAGAGATTTGAATACCAAGGTCTCATCGCATGCTTGCTGATGCTTATACATAGCCAGCGGAATACGCCACTGCCCATTCACTTGCGCAAACGACCTCGCGTACCCGATCCAATTCGCAATAAAGAATCCAAACGCATTCTTCAGGCCCTTCAACCCGACCAAGAACCCACGGTTCTCGGGCAGCGAGATCTTGGTGAGATGAATTGGCGTGACAGGATATCAGATGCCCGTCAACTTCGGACCAGCCGCTACACACGCGCCCAGCAATCATCATGCCCAGGTTGACGGACACAGCTCGCAGGGCTGCGACGAGAATGCTGACAACCGCTCCAATGAGGACGGTTAGCAACGGCTCCGTTTGTCCATTGGCCATCCGGACTGCAGACCGTCGACGCAGCTTCCGGTGTAGTATGAGGCGACGATACCCCCGACTAGCACAGATTGACCTCATGAGCTTCCGTGCATGTATGTCTCAAAGCTCGTCGGCCTATGGTTATCGCAATAATACCGTTGTCAAGACTGTCGAAAAGGCTGAGTTGCTACCATCATCAATTCATATGTTCAAAGCAAATAAGAAGAAGTCTGGAAGAAACCTCACCCTCCCCGTGCTAATGGCCATGGAGGCGAGTAGGGTCTTCTTGGCGTTTCCATGATGCCCACGGAGGACTTTTGTGCTCGTCATCTTGAACCCTAGACTTCTGCTTAGAACAAGAGAACTGCTCACAGCAGCTGGGCTTTGGCAGAATCTTGGTGATGAAGAGAGATGTCTATACTGATGGATTGGAAAGAGGCCGCTCTAGCACTGCCGCTCCATCGTGCGGAAGCCGTCTTCCACATTCCCTAGATCTCCGCGTCTCCCACCACGCATCTCCCCGCACCTCGCGGAAGCCTCGCAGGCACCAATACCGATGCAACGGCAATGTGTAGGATCAGGCAGGCAAGGAAGTCATCTTTTCCTGCCTTCTCTCCCGTCGCATCCTCCATATTATGGGTGACGGAAGAAGCGCCACGCCGCTTTTCTTTGCTGAGAGCATCAAAATCACGTCTTCCAGCCTGCGGTTCCTGACCATCATCCCCAAAATGTGTCGAGATTGATATGGAAAGCCGACGTTCGGCATCTTTCATACAGACGTTTCAACCATTTCAGTAAGTAGGCGGTCCAATGTCCTTTGCCCTGGAAAACAAAGGTTCAACGTGGAAAAGACACTGCGCTTCTCGGAAGCCTCTGTCTTTCTATACTCGGGAACTTGACTTGGAAGACAATGTGAAGACTGCCTTTTGAAGGAAGCGAAGGTGCTATGTCACCCAGCCCATCTTATTGGCTACGTTTTTTTTGCATAAGACATGTACCTGCAGCAAGCAGCAGTACCTACATTCAGTAACGTGATCTGCAACACTCACAACATAACATGACCTCTTACTTACGCAGTAGGCGTGAACGAGATACATTACTCATGCAGGCCCAAAATACGGAACGAAGTCCATCAAGAACGATGCAGTATACCCCTAGTCCCCGGACGCCTCATGGCTGATCTCCAAAGTACCTTCACCCTCCCCCTCCCCATCTCCGAATCCTCCGCTCCGTAACCCGTCGAGTCGCTTGGAACCCATCACGTCACAGCCGTTCTTCGTCCGATCAACACAGAGTCTCCGGTTTCATTCCATCTTTACTCCACGGCGGAGCTTCCCCAACCACCATCCCGACCTAGGCTAACCTACCTACCTACCTACTCGTTGATTAAAAGGAGGTCGTTCCTGCTGCTGCTGCCAAGGCTGTATCTGCCAACACGGTTCCTGTCAACTAACCTTGAACATTGTCCAAAAACAAAAACAAGCCTCCAGAAACTTTGTCAACCAAGCCCCAAAATTAAAAAATAGGTCTACCTCCAAGACTTGCCTTGCACCAACAACCTCTAAAATGAACAACACAGCCCCAAAAGACCTCCAATCCCTCCCCGAAATCTACTGCCGCGCCTGGGCCGCCCGCGACCCCCAACCCCTCCTAGACCTCTTCACAAAAGACTCCTTCATGACCGACCACGGCGCCCAGATCCACATCCCCTTTGCCTTTCTCGAACGTCACCACAAGCACTGGAACGGCGCGCACAAGGACTTTGAAGTCTACCTCGACAAGCAGTACCCCGTCTACTGGGCCGAGACGGACGCACAAGGCAATGGGTACTGCAGCTTCCGGACCGTCAATAAGGGCGTCTTTGTCAACGACTTGGGGAGGCGCAAGGCAACTGGGTTGCCGTTTGAGTACTCGGGCGTCATTGACCTCAAGTTGAGAGGGGGCAAGATTGCGCAGGCGGATGAGTGGTTGAGGGTGCCTTTTGAGGATAGCGTCTCGCCTGATAAGTACATAACGATTTCGGAGGAGAGTTTGAAAAAGGTGATGAGGAAGGACCTCCACCAAGAGGGTTGATCATTGATCCGGATGAATTAACAGAGCGTAAGTGAGTAAGCAGATTATGTAGGTCTCAATAGGTAGCAAGCGACTATCAAGCAAAGAAGGTTTTTCGAGAAAATCATCATGAAATAAGTACGGTCGTATTCAAAGGCGGAAGCCATCTCTACTAGAGTTGTTTCCAAGTTCCGCGTAAATTAAACTAGATAAACAACACATCAAGTGACGATTCCGTTCAGGGATCGTGTAGATGAATAAGAGGTCGCTTTTACATCACAGAGCAAGGCTGTGCGGGGGTATCATCACCAACAACTCCTCTCTAAACAACGTTTCCTCGCACCTGCTTGATCTTCTTGACGTTGATGTTGCGCCACATGGCGACGGAGCCAAGGGCTCCGACCAGTAGACAGAGACTCGTGATGAGCATAATGCGCTGCGAGTCACCGTAGGCGCGCTGAATGCCAATGCGCTCGGGGGTGCCGACTGCGTAGCTAAGCTGCTGGTAGATGTCGCCGTAGATGGTGTCCACTGGAGTGCCAGCAGGAGTGTACTTTGCAATGTTCTTCTTGAAAGTACCAGTCCAGATCGCGGTGGCAACAGTGTAACCGACTGTCGAGCCAACGCTACCGAAAAGGTCGAGGATGGCCATGATGACTGCAACGTGTGCGTGGTCGGAGGGACTCAGCATGGCCATTTCTCCGCAGATGGTGGTTGGTCCGCCAGCAAATGCAACTGGACGTGATTTGTTAGCAACAATGCTTTTTGATGGCTTCAGCGTCATGTCACTTACCAAAAATCTGGGTCATGATAATGTAGCCGATGGGTTGATCCGGCTGACGGAAGTGGATCATGAGACCAACACCGAGCATCATGAGAGGGATACAAAAGAACAGGGCAAACGGCTTGAACCGCCCGGTGCGGTAAATCAGCCAGGAGATAATGATAGAGAAGAAGCAGGAGCCCGTGCGGTAAATGTTGCTAATGTAGGTGGTCTCAGAGGTGGACGTGTTCCAAACGACCATGAGCATGGAAGTGAAGAAGGATCCCCAGACAGCTGAGTTGAAGAAGACAAACACAAACATCAAGCCACCGAAGAAGACGGTTCTATCCATCAGGAGGGCAAACGGGATGAAGGTGACAGGGGCGAAGTACTTCTCGTAGACAACGAAGCCGATGATCAAGACGAAGCCGACGACGATGAAGGCGATGATCATGGGAGAGCGCCAGCCATCGGATTGATAAGAGTATATGTTGAACGGCAGGAGGAACAAGGCCATGCCCGCGGCAAGGATGAGGATACCGAGGGCATCGACATCAATGAGGAACTTCAAGATTTTGGCGCCAGAGATGTTCTTGATAGATCCGCGGCCGTCTATGATACCCATCTTCTTCGCCTTGTGCTGGTTCCAAAGGAAGAGAAGGATAAGAGGGCCAATGACGACGGGGGCCACGATAGACCACAAGCCAAGACCCCAACGCCAACCGATGCCGCCCTTGCTGAGGATACTGTCGGTGATGGGACCAGCCGCCCAGGTAGTGAAGATGTAGGGCGTCGTTGCGAATGAGAGCATCAGAGCTCTGCTCTTCAAGGTCGAGGTGTCGGCAATGAAGATGGTGATGCAGTAGGAAATACCCTGGGATCTACGGGCTGTTAAACTTTTGTCGACGATGATAATAGTTTGAGCTCAAAACTTACCCAACAGAGTAAAAGACTTGAGCAGCGGCGTACGTTTCAACGCCTTTGCAAGCAGCCATCATGATGAAGCCGAGAATCCAGCAAACGAGCATTATGCTGAGACCTTGGGGACGACCCCATGTGTCTAGAATCTTGGCAAGCGGCAGCTTGATCAGACCGGCAATGAGGGTGGACATGACGCTGGTAGTCGCCGTCAAGGAGTGCATGGCGAAAGAGCTGGTGACGAAGGGAGAGAGAACGCGCATCGAGACCTCCTGGATAGAGGTGACGACATAGAACAGCCAAATGCTTCGCATATTGTCAGCTATCGCCTAATGGGTCTACCAGTCTCTCTCTCTCTGGGCGGCGCGGAGGTAACTTACAGGGTATAGGCAATGATGAGATCACGCTTCGTCCAGACGGCTGTCATGGCCTCGACCTTGGCGACACCGGCCTGGAGGTCCTTTCCGATCGGTTCGTCATCGCTTGATCGGTCGCCTGGGTGCTCGCCGGCGGTCTTCTCGTCGTATGTGGGAGTTCCTGTAGGGTCGGCAGCCACCTGCTCCTCGACAGGAGCTTTGTTGGAGAACAAGCCCATGATTGTGTTGTTCAATCGTCTGGCTATGCTGGGCGGTTGACGTTGGCAGCGGCCAGGCTCATATGCACCAAGAGCAACAGGGAATTGTGTCTTTTGTTGCCGAAAAGAGCTTGATTGCGGGACATGAAAGCGTCCGTAGGCCGGGCAGAGGCTGGGTCTAAGTATTACGCGCCAAAGCTGCGGGACCTGGCTAGATAGTCGCGCAAGTTACATCCGCCATCGGCTCGGCGAAGGGAAGGCAATGGATGGTAAACAGGTGCCACCACTAGTGTAAGGTCAGAGCTAGCTCTCCACCCTTATGCAGCATTAGCACCATTTTGCTCGTGTAGTTGTGTGTCCGCCAAGAGCAAAGGAACCTTCAACCCCGAGTGGATTTTTCTGTGGATTATTGGATGGGGAAGAGGTCCACGGAATGTAAAAGCCAGCGGTGGCCGAGAGCGACTTTGTCCATGTGGGACAGATTTCTGTTGGCCAGGTCCAAGGCAGACCAGACCTAGCAGGCGTTCCACTGAAGCAACTGGGGTTGGTCCCATCGCAGCGCTGTTGGAAAATCGTTGGCAAAGAATTACGAAACGGCGTCCAGGTTACCGAGCTGACTTGGCCCGGATCGTTGGGCGACTCGGACCATGTGGGGAAGCATGCCCTGGAAGGTGTTCGGAAGGGAAGGGTTCTAGGTTGTATCTGTACGGATACCTAGTGTATTCTTGCTTGGATTCCAATGTGCAGAAGAGTCGGCTAGGCACAGAAGATCGTGCAGGCTACAGGCGTGTGAGTTGTCGGTGGGGTGGCAGTGGAGTTGCAGTCAATGTGAGCCGATGCGCCGAATAAAGCTCTAGCTCCATCTCGGCTACCAGAGTCGGTTCCGTGGTCGTCGCATTATCGTGCCGGGGCAGGGCCTCACATGTCAGATTGGTCGGGAACCAGTTCGCGTGGTCTTGGGTACACGTCTCGGGCGTGGATCGGTGGGACGAGGTGGAAGCTGTGCCATCGGACCTTGGAGGAAGAGATCGTCGCGCGATATGGGTCTCATAGGGTTCTGCCCGTGGCGAGAGCCGAGGAGCGAGCTGACGGCCGGCGTAGGTAGCGTACGGTTGGTCGTGCCATGATAGCGTTTGCTGCCATACATGAATCGCTAGGCCGTCTGCTGGGTGTTTATCTGTACGGAGACAAAACACAGTACACACACATTTGGTGATGACATCGGGTCGAGGGAGACATGCCGCTGAGACATCAAAGGCCACCGGGGAGATGCAGAAGTCCTTTGGCCTAGCGGGCCCCAGTCGTGGTCCATTCGGCCGGGCAATTTGTCGCGATTCGGCAAGAGAATTAAGGATGAAGGAAAGCTTGGCTTCAAGCATGACCAGGGCCGAGGTGCAAAGAAGACGTGGCCAACGTGACTGAGGGGGATACATCCAATGTCACTTGAAGGTGAACAAAATGGAAGGTGCCTTTAACAGATCTGGTAAGCTTCAAGAACGGTAGGCAGCAGCTGTGCCACCATTGGGTACCACGGTGCCTGCCACGCCCGGCTGAAGACATTGGGTCGGGAAGGATGGAACGAGGTGGAAAAGGGCAGGAACAACACCAAGGCAGAACGAACCGTTGTCCAGACTCCACACCCCACCGGTTGTTGGGAAGGAGGTCCTGAGAAGCTGGTCATTGGTTGGTCCGTCGCCCATGTTGTCATTTTAGTCGGCGGGGCCGTTCCACTGGCGCTGAAGCAAATTTTTATCTGATGGCGCCCCATTTTTCCCAATCTTATCAGATCATCTGCCTGCCTGAGGAATGGCAGACATCCCAGCCGCCACTTCCACCGCACTTGCACTTATGCACTCACTGTGCACTCACTCTGCACTCACTCCATCGCCCAGGACCCAGGGTGCTAGGTCATTCCGAATTTTCGATTGCTCTCCTCCGCGCAAGTTCCACTCTACAACATACCTAGGCCTGGGCAACAAGGCCCTCTCGATCCTGGGCGCCCGTTGCCACCTCGTACATCCGCGTATCTGGGGCCACCACTGTCGCTTTGCGGACCGGGCTGCGCACCACTTTGACAGCTTGACGACCGATTTCGACCCAGTTGCCCAGCCTTGGCTCTCGTTCCGTCCTGTCACCATATTTAGAGTTACCCATGAAGCGAATATCCCGTTCCGATGCTGCCGCAGTGCTATCGAGTCCATCCATCAGCTGAAGCTCTGCGTCTTTTTCCATCACTTCTTGCCCACGCCTCGCCGGCGTTCTGCTGTACCGCAGGCAAGAAACATGAAGAATTTGGTAGGCTTTGTCGTTGACTACCTTAACCCTTCCTGGGCACCAGGCCTACATGTCTGTCTGTCCTGGTCGTGGGACCGGCTAGCTGCATATGCGCCAATGGCATTTCTTCCTAGGGCACTTCTTCACCTTAGGTCACAGACATTCTACAAGTGGCTGCGTGACGATGTCTAAGACCTGCCGAGGCCTCCTGACTCATTGCTCGGGCTCCGACCGAATGATCGGAGCTTGTCGTTGAATGGTATCGGCGGCAAAGAACGAGGACTCGAGTTGTCAAGCCATATCATAGTAAGCGCAAGACTATCTGGAAAATCTCTTTCAAGGGCAAGCCGATCGAAGCCCTCTCACCTCCCTCTCACCGAGGCGGCATGGGCGGGTCGCAGGCCCTCTTGTGTGGGAGCCGACCCGGATACCAAGACTCATCCCAAGACTCGGAACACGAAGTCTCCAGCATGACAGAATGGGCCCGCGCATCTCCCACTCCACAACCAAACTGCCGGGCCAAGCATGCCAACCCGTCCATAGTAAAGTCAGCTCTATTAGGAGCACACGGGCGTCTCATTATTGCCACGGTTCCTTGCCCTCGCAGTTCCAGGCTGCATCTTTCATCCTTTGAGCTGCTGAAACCGCATCCACAGATCTCTCAGCGATGATCCGCCGGTAACTACAACGAGAGGACGTTGACTTGGGATAGAAAAGTCTTTGTGACTGCTACAATTCGACAATTGGCCGCTGCTTGCATCGATCCTTGAGCCAGTTCTTTGGCCGCCAAGGTCATGCATTTTTGCTTGGTCCTATCTCTTTTCCGACTTCCGCCGAAGCAAAAGCCGCCGAGCAGCCAGCCAAAAAGCGGCGCAGGGATGTTTCCGCGTTCATTTGCAACATCGGCCCACCATCAGGTAGGACGTCGCGGGGGAAATGCTCACAACTCTGACAACAATTTATTTATCGGGACCTCGATTCCCGCAATTCTCCCCGTACCAGACCGCCAATAGAGGCCATGCGATTTCGGACCCAAGGGGGATTTCGGGTCTTCCGATAACCAACAGAGGCCTGACCATGGCACTTGAGGTAGTCCTGTTACCCAAGATGCCGACTTCAACGATCCGTCCCGCGTTGCCAGAGGCCCTTTCCAGGGTGCTGACAACGCAACCATCACGCGCCGTGCTAATCCTGCGTCACGCATCTTTGTGTTATTTGAGACGCACTTACTCTTCCCGGTACGGAATACCAAGTCTCCAGCCTCGTGGAGCGACATGAGGTTGTCATGAGTTAGACGAGAGAGCCAGCTCTTCTAGAATATTGACGCGCTGTTCCATAAAGTATAAAATATCAGCCAGGAAGAATTGTGTAGAGGCTCAACTAAGTAGCAGCATTCCTCATCCAGCAGGTTCCGGTATCCGTACCTCCGGTTACTTGAATTCGCTTCGGGCCACAAGCTCTGTCATTCAGAGTGCAGATTCTGAGAGCGTCACTCTGCTAATCAACTGAGCAATGTCCAGGGATATCAGGTGATAAGCTCTCGTTATTCTCGATATGGATCATCGGGTCTGGAGCGCCGCAAGTCTTGGCTACAACATGGCATAATTCACGCTGTTTGTCACCAGCTTCGCTATCTATGCTATCGGCTTCGGGGATCCACAAATTCCGGTTAAACAAGGAAGCCTGATCTCAGCGAGACCTTTCGAGTTCCTGCGAAGACGTCGGATTCGATTCATCGTCAACATTTCATCTTTGGGTGACGCATTTGGCAAGGCAATAAGGTGAAGGGCGATATCACTTGATAGCACCAAGCACTCCTTGTTTTTTGGGCGTTTATGTGACCGTATTCTTTATTAAAGGTGTCTCGCACCGTCGATAACAAAAACCATAGGTCCGGCAGACAGCCTTGATCTTGGAAATTCTTCTATGCTCCTGAAAATCAGTATACTTGCATTCACCTCAACTTGAGGTATTGAAGAACGGTAGGCAGGTCGTTCGCTTTGTCGTTGAAAGGATAGTAGAGTAACCTAGATCCATTGTGCAAGGATAAGACTTGCTGCAAATAAACTGTATTCCAGATCCCTCTAATTATGGCAAGGTTCGCAACTGATGTCCGTGGAACTGGGGATTTTGCAACGTTTTAGGCCTTGTCAGACGGTACGGACCCTCCTAGATGCATACCGACCCGATTACCCCACTCTGACCGGCGTCCGACGGTCGGAACGCCTCTACACCTCGTTTTCTGTGAAACCTCCATGATACCCAGTGCCAGTGAACACTAGATACGCACTTCAACAACACTGCATCTTACTCATCTTGTGAGCTATAGTCGAATACTCTGGGCCTTTACGATCACCTGCTCCAGTTTACCGCAACGGATTTCGAGAGGGGGCAGTGATGTCATGGCGACATGGGCCACAGTCGACATGTCCCCACGCGGCTCGACATCAAATGATGGGCAAGCTTCGCGGGGCTACGTCATTCTGGGCATGCTCTAGAACATCGGATGGTGCGGGCTGCATGCATTCTAAATGCGCAAAAGAGACCTAGATGGTTTCCATCCCACTGCAACGCATACCGAGTACGAAATCACGCAATTCATTAGAGCCGCAAAATCTCAGTACGACGCGCCCACAACACACACAAATTGACAGCGCAGATCTCGTCCGAGTTTCCCATGACAGCGCAAAGCAGCGAAACCATGTCGCACCCGACACCGCCGTACAGCGAGACCGACCAGATGGACCAACAGGGCAGCAGACAGCCAGCACAGCAACAGCCGCAAAGGGAAACACATCCGCCCAAGACCGAGACGGAAGAGAAGATTGAGAAGGAAACCCCACGGTTGAATCCGGATGCTTCCTTATCCGCATCCGACACCAATACGCGATATGAAGATACGAAGAAGCATGTAGCGAAAAGAAGTAAGCGGCACGACGAGCCTAAAACCTCCGGAGGAGGACGGCAACAGCGACAAAAGCGTGAGCAGCAGCAGCAGGTCGTACCGCAAAATCAACAGAATCAACAAGTACAGAATAAGAGCAGCAGTGGAGCTCCTTCGGTGAAGTTGGATATGGACCTGGACGTCGATATTGATCTGAAAGCGAAGATTCAGGGTGACATAACTTTGTCTATATTGTAAGTTTGTTTTAGTCTTCTCTTGCTTGTGCCGATTTATGAAGAACCCGCGAGATTGACACCAATTCAGAGGAGGAAAACAAAATAAAAAGTGATTTACTTGAAGAGCAAGAGCGCGACGATATCCATGAATATGATGAAACTTCGTATATATAAAAACCCAATCGAAAACTCCCAGCAACTTGTTACTATAGCTCTTGGTTCTGTTCACGATATAACTTGGACGGCCAACGACACCCAAACGCTGCGGGCTCATTGAAGTAGGCCTGATCCATGTTATCGTGAGAAGCAACAGCTCCCCCAACAGCAGACGCAAACAGAGGATCGAAATCATACGCCTCTGCGACCAATTTCCTCCCAAACAAACCTTTCAGCAAGTCCATGAAGCCAGAATCTCGGACCGAATCGCCGTGCAGGATGAGGACTTGAATCTTATCCGGCATATCACCGATCACAGAGCAGGATCCGAGAGGCGGTTTGGAGATACGGCGCAGAGCCTCGCCTGCCTCCTCCAACCTCGCGCCATTATCTCTTGAGCCATCTTGTGCGCCGGCTGTTTGCGATTCTACGGGGAATATGACGATTTCGTGACGCTGCTCCTCAAGCACCAATCGATCCACGCAAAAAAGCGCGACATTCATCCCCCAACGGCTGTATTCTATGGAGAGCGCCGCTTGAGGCATCAGCGTCCTGGCAGTAGGGAATCGTAAATTGGCGTGGACGGCGAGACTGGAGGCTGGTAGGACTGGGACGCCTCTCACTGCTTGACGACGGCCAATACGTTTGAGTGCTTCCTGCAAGATATCTCGCTGATAGCCGTCTTCCTGCGACGGATTGTGCAGGACCAGCTCGGCATAGCAGAATGATGTACCCAGGTGTGAAGTAACCGAGGATTGAAGACTGCGTAACAGGGTCTCGGCGCTGGCTACAGCTGCTGACGGAGTGCAGATGTTGAAAATTCCCTGTAGGCTTGGGGGAACGAAACGACAGGCTGCCAATTCAGGTACGGTGTAAGACGGTTTACTGCTGCGCAGGAAGGTTTTGTACTCTTGGGTGCCTTCAAATGGACCAATTTCCACAAAAGAACCGTTCGCGTAGTAAATGACCGCGGTACTGCTAAGACGTATCAGTTACAATGCACTCTTCGTGATCGACTGTTTGGTTAAGCAATCTTACCCGTAGTCAGGATTCAGACTAAATGCTACTCCTGGCACACTCCAAGCCTTGCCCAAAACTCCGCAAATGCTGCAGAGGATGAAATAAATATGCGCCCGCATGGTTAGAGCGTCGGCTGTTGGACGAAGGTCTTCACTTTGAAAGGCTGGCTGAGCAGACGTGAAGAAGGCAAGCGCCCCCAATTTCAAGATGCCGGAGAAGACTAGGTGCTTTGCTGGAGGAATAGGCTCGAGGAGGGCGGGCGCAACCTGTTCCAGATGATATGGCTGACGGCGAAGCGGATGAACAGACCATGGGGGCTGGACATGATATACGGCGCAGCAATATGCGTGAATGAATGGAGGCTGGGACCAACGGATGAGTGGGTCTAGCTGAAAAATCCAGGCCAGGCATCATGGCCGGACTTGGGGCCGAAACCGCGGCGGAGGTCCTCTTAAGAGAGGATTCTGGGGTCTTGTTGGTGCCGAATTTATGCGGTTGTGATACACCAGTTCCATTCAGGGGCGTCAAGCGCCCGTGTCAGCATACGACAGTCACACCATAACTTGAGGGAAACGTATTCATCAATCCATGCATCATACATCTATCTACATGTATCATTTATTCTGGGATGCCCCCAATACAACAAGAAGGGGGTTCACATGATGTTGTGCCGAAGAACATAATCTCCCACACTGAAAGCATCACGGTACCCCCAAAAACGGGCGACGGATGTGCTGGGGAAGATTGGACTTTTGGTGGCATCGACATGCCTTCGTTCTTGAGCCTCAGGGCCGGTAGTTCATTGCTCTTAATGAAGGAGGAAAGTAAACAAATGACAAAAGACATAAATACAGCATAAGAGTAACTCATGCTCATGGAGTCTGCTTCAGCATCGATCACCTCTCCTCTGATCAAAGACGACTTAGTATAGGTCAAAATGGTTTTCATTACTCTCCTTTTACTTCAATATGCTGCTGTCCTGGCGTGTGCAGCACCAGGAGCTCGCAGGAACGCAACAGAGGCTGGTACCTCCATCGTCAGCATAGGAAGTCATCTCAACGACTTCACCGAGTCTGATCCGACTGCTCTCGACCCAAAGGACCCGTTGGCGTCGTTGAACGACCGTTGGCGACCGGAAGGGGGTAATCCCTTTGACATCGGGATTCCTCAATTACCGTCAATCTGTGACAATCTCTGGAGCACTCCATCCAAAGAATGTGCCGAGGCAGCTCTGTCTCAGTCAGGGCTGGACGCCTTTTGGAGGCGGCAACCTGAAGTTCGAGGACGGCATTTGTGACTCAATGCAACAGCAGAGGCTCGCTACGGCAGCTTGGGATGCTCATACCCTTGCTAGATTCGCGAAGTCTCTTCCCACCAGTGGCAAACACATTGCTACGTGGCGAGCATACATTGGTCCGGACTTTTCAAACTTTCAGGATCGTATCACGAGTAAGGAACTCTCCAGAAAACAAATTCTAGTGATCAACATAGCTAGCTTAATGCTGACGAAGGACTTTTAGAAAATTTTGAAAGAGCTCAAGAGTTTAAGGACAAACAGAAATTCGACATTATTCTCAGTTGTAAGGATACTCAAAACAAGTGCGGTCGGCAAATCGACGGAAAGAGTGTCGGTGGCTACGCATGGACACAAGCGTGGTACTTTGGTTGGAAATACTACCACATCACACTTTGTCCTATTTACTTCGGGCTGGATACGCTGGACGAAAAGTTTGACCTCATTGAAAGCGAGTTGGGGAACGGGGAAACCAAACATGCTGCCAAGGCGGAATGGCAGATGAACACAGGCCAGTATCTTCTCCACGAGATGATGCATCTTTTGATCTGTCACTCGGGGTTGAAGATTTGCTAAAGATTTACATCTAGTCATCGACCACCATGTTGATGAAAGCGAGACTGGCCGCTGGGCATATGGGCCAGCAATGGGTCACAAGCTCGCTCAACGACCCCTGGCCCAAGGTGGAGGAGGCCAACGGTCAAGCACCAATTCAGGCAGCTACGCCTGGCTAGCCAATAGCCTCTACTTTTACCATGTCACCAACTATTTCCCGCAACCTCCGGGCTTCAAAGACATAAGCGCTATCCACAGACTAAGCTCTGGCCAACTTGCCCAAATGGAGACCGCCTTCTCAATCAACTTGGGTTATATGAACTTTAGCGAAGGTATCTGGACAACCGAGGAGACAGACCGTCGATTTAATACCGCGTGTGAGGGTATGAAGAACCCACCGCCAGCCATGTCTGCACCACCTCTCAGCGAGATCCCCAGACCCGATTGTGCCTACAACGGCCCAGCTTTTGCGCAGTCGCCAGCCGAAGCACACATTCACGACTTTTGCAGTAACGAAGAATTTTGGGACACGGTCATTGTTCCTCCCATCTCACTTGGACTTGATAAGACCAGCGACAACCGACAGAAAGCAGCGGGCATTGCAAAGGGATATGCCATTGGCGGAACAGATGACAAGCTGTGGCTGGGACTCATGTTTTCGCGCGACTCTTGCACGGGATCCTTTCAGTTCAGCCTCGGAGAAACCAACGACGAGAAACGAGACTACTGCAAAAGCCGACTTCGAACAATCCTGAATGGCTGTGGAACGGGTACGGTCACTGCAAAAAAGGGAGGTACACTTGTTGAAGGATGTCATATTTACGCCATGATGGCCGCCCAAAATGATCCATTTGATGAGTGGTATAAGGACCAGGGAGAACTAAAGTGTGAAGATACGGCTGCGACTGGGGAGAGTGCACTGAAAGGGACTTGCACCTGCTGGTATAGTGGCTATCCCGGCCTTACTGATGTCTTCAAGAAGCCCAACAGCAACGTTTGTAAGGCTGGGGATATAAACTTGAAGGATCTAATTACAAATTAGTCTGTGATTATGTAACACCAGCAATTTACCTGACAGACCACAATCTTCGCAGCGATAGTCACGAGCGAAAGATCCCCAATCTACACAGTTGTCCAAGTGGTGATTTTGATTTTTAGCGGATAACGGTTCCTGACTGCTTTCTCGTTTTCTTACACAACATGAATACAAGCGCCAAGGATCCTATTATGTTTATGTCTTCTCGAGATGTCGATTGCAAATCAAAGATTGAAACCTATCGATGAAGTTACTTATTCATGACATAGCAAAGGATCCCAGATTAGCGCCTCTATCCATCAAAGCTGCCGGCGTCATTATAGGATCCAAGTTAAATTGCCTCGCGACACTATGTTGCGGAACTCGTAGGACATCGGATGCTGGCCCGCGCACAACGTTCACTATTCGAACCTGATTCTGCTCTGACAAACCAGCACGTTTGTATAAAGGTAACGATGAATTGCGCATTGGCACAGATCTTTCATTAGAGTGGCAAGGCCAGATCTCTATCTGTATTCGTGCATGTGACTTGAGGCTCAAATGCGGGATTTAAACCGAGGTTTGTAGTGAAGCAAGGAAGTATGAAGATAAGATTTGGGAGGAAAGGTGGCAGCCTGATCAAGTCGCAGAATATTGAAGTCGTCTGACGGACACTGCCGGCAGAATGAGCTTTCCCCGTCCAGGTCTTGGCTATTTATTTTCAGTCACATACCTCAAACGCACGTCATTGGTTTGGTCTACCCGGCACGTTTTTATACGCGCTGGCGGACGAAGACGCTCGATAGCCTTCCTGCCTGTCTTTCTGCTTGTAATACAACGCTAAATGTAATTTTCGGTAGTGACGTCTTCCAACTACCTTTCCCAAATAAGTCCAATCCTCTCAGAGTTTCGATCGAAAAGTCTAGACCAAGACTAGTTGATTATTCCTCAACGAAATGACTCGATGGACCATTGGAACTTTACTGGGACCAAGCTTTTGTCCTCTGTTCACAATTTCCTGAACTTGATTGAGGCTTGCAATGTTTTTGTTTGAACTTTGGAAAAGAATTTGGTCGGCATTCTCCAACATCAGCCAGGTTACTAATAAACACCTTGTCGACGTTGGTAGCGATTGATTACTTGATCCTTCTTGCAATAATAGAACACCAAAATCAGTCAGCTTAGCGCCTAGAGTGAGACCAACGGTACATGCGTTCATGACAAAGCATGAAAGCTATTGTCACGGTACCTCTCACTATCTGTGGGTCTGTTTTTCATTTGTTTTGGACGCATGAGGTAGCAGGTAATTGTGCAGATAAGCCTTTAGGGATCTACAACTGAAGAACGATATTTTATCTATTCTCATGACATGAACTTTGCAGACATTGCTTGAATTAATAGTACTTAATAGACACGAGCATGTGTTATGCAATGGCCACAGGCCTTTTCTTCAGAGTTGTGATGCATTTTTGTAATCTTATTGAAGCAATATACATGTACCATGTACTCATGTGATTATGCCACACCAAACGTTAAGGTTTTCTGGAAGTCATTTTCAGACTCAAAAGTTCGAGACAAGTAGAGACGTTGGGCTTCTCCACAAATTGCGGATCCAAAGTATGTTTCCCGTGAATGGAGCCATCCAGTTGTCCACTGTGTGCTACGCGAATCTGCAAAACGTCATGTGGAGGCCCTCGGCAATGGCACAAGAAATGCCCAACCAGCCATACCTAAGCAGCTATCCGAGCCTGACGATTCGCCGGTGTGGGCGCAGATCGTCAGCATCTGGTTGCCTCTGAATCAATGTCTGCGTATTACCCATCTCACCTTGCCCTTTTGCAGACTTGCGTCCGGAGTGTGTCTACTCCCCGAGCAAATGATGTCGAAGCGTTGTGAGACGGTCTCCGCAAGCAGTCAGCGAGATGTTGCATCGCGGTCCGGGATGGACTTGAATTTGTAACCTTTGCCTGCCAAATCGAGTTGGCTACATTTTTTAGTGCTCACTCTTCGGACTGACTAAGTGGTACCGCTGGCCGTTGCAACTAGCATACCCGGTAACCTCGCTGATCTAATGCCCAGGGGTCTCCATGCAAGAGTCGTATTTAAGACGCAAGTGCGGAACATGAAATGTTGCTGACGGCAGAAAATATCCTCCAAACCTTTCCCCCTTCTCTGTCGCCTAATTTAACTTTTAAACGAAAATGGAGATATTTTCGCTGTCCATTGGCTTCGCCGGCCTCCTACTCATCTCTTTTGTTGTCGAGAGAGTCTTGAGCAGGTTGAAGAATGGCAGGCGACCTCCCTTGCCCCCCGGCCCTAAGGGTTTGCCGATTGTGGGTAATGTGAACGATCTACCCAAACCTGGCGAACTGGACTATGTTCATTGGTTGAAGCATAAAGAGCTCTACGGTCAGTCCCTGACTCCCGGTATTGAATCCCCATGATGGAATTTTCAGCATCATGACATGGAACAAAATGATCATGAAGAAGACGTGGCTGACTTTTCTGTGCCAGGTCCCATCAGTTCAATCACGACAATGGGTCAGACCATCGTGATTCTCAGCGACGCGCAACTTGCATTCGAACTTTTAGACAAGCGCTCGCTGAAGCATTCCTCGAGACCATCGCAAACATTCATTGGCGAGATGTATGTAAACCTATAACGTCTTTCCGACTCATGGAAGCTTCTAACAGTATGATAGGGTCGGCCTAGAGCACCTTACTGGCATGGCCGTCTATGACGAGCGGTTTCGTGCGCAGCGCAAGTCTATGGGCCGGATACTTGGCTCCAAGAATGCCGCAGCGAAATATAACGAGGCCCAAGAGGCTGAAGTTGGACATCTCCTGCTGCACCTGCTGAACGACCCGCAGAACTTGGTGGAACATATCAAGAAGTAAGAGAATGAGGGATTCACAAGGCGACCAACTACAATAACCAATCGCTGACATATTCCCACAGGGAAGCCGGCTCTTTAATTGTCAAGATTGTCTATGGCTACACTGCGGAACCGTTTAAGAAAGACCCTTTCCTGGAGATGATTACCCAAACCATGGACAATTTCTCGGAGGGTGCTACGCCCGGCGCCTTTTTGGTTGACGTTTTCCCCTTTTGTATGTCCCACTCTACGCTTCTGCTCATGACTGAGTCTTTCTGATTTCCAGCAGTAAGATATCTACCCAACTGGGTTCCTGGGACAGGTTTCAAACAACTAGCAAAGCAATGGAAAGCCCAGATGGAGGAGACCAGAGACAGGCCGTATGCTTTCGTCCAGCATCAAATCGCGCAAGGCAAGGATAACTCGTCATATCTGGCGAATCTCCTCGACTCCCCTGACCAATCGCCATTCAATCAGCATAACAACAAGTACTCCGCGCTGGCTGTTTTCGGAGGTGGCGCAGATACAGTACGTAAACTTTTCAATCTCTGTTGAAGCATCAGGTCGGTAAACACTGCATGCTAACTGTGCCGCAGACCGTCTCGACCGTTGCGTCCTTTTTCCTTGCCATGATGGTGCATCCCGAGATCCAGAAGAAGGCCCAAGAGGAGATTGATAGGGTCGTTGGTAGTGCAAGACTGCCGAATATCCAGGATCGTGAGAAGCTTCCTTATATCGAAGCCCTAGTCAAAGAGATCATGCGTTGGCACCCTATCGGCCCTATGGGTCTTCCCCACTCAAGTACAGAAGACGATGTCTTCGAAGGCTACTTCATTCCGAAGGGGTCCATGGTGCTTCCCAACATTTGGTAAGCCCGGCAGCGCTCTGAAATACGGAATCGTGAGCATTGGCTGAGACATTCACCACAGGTGGTTCACGCATGACCCAGCGAGATACTCCGATCCCCTGGACTTCAAGCCCGAGCGCTTCCTCGAGACCGAGGGGCACGAACCCGAGGCGGACCCTCACAAATTCGTTTTTGGCTTCGGCCGCCGAATCTGCCCCGGCCGCATCCTCGCCGACAACTCCATCTTTCTCAACATCGCCCAGACGCTTGCCGTGTACAATCTCACCAAGCCGATTGTCGATGGCAAAGTCGTTGAGCCGGCCGTCAAGTTTAGCACAGGCGTCATCAGCCACCCGGAGCCATTCGAGATCTCCATCAAGCCTCGATCGGCGGAGCATGAACGGTTGATTCGCTCGATTGAGCAAACCTACCCGTGGGAGGAGAGTGATGCCAAAACTCTGGAGAGAATGGCGGTCTAGGCGGCGTGGGGTGGGGTCGATTTTTGAAGTTTACGGTCTCAATGATGATCTGAAACTTATTGGGTGTTGTTGGAAGGGATGCCTCTTGGGAGATTCTAAATTGAAAAATGAACGACTGGTCTTGAATCAAGACTGTTGTCATTCTTGGAGAAATTTGATGACTCAGTGCAAGACCTTTTGTCGCAAAGACGACGCCGTCAATTGCGGGCAGCAATCAACGCCACATACACCATTGCGACACCTTTGAACTGCAAGGTGATGATTGATGAATTTGCGCCCTTAGGCTCTGCTTCCCCCGATTTACCTTTGTAAATTTCGAAATCCATCCCTGAATGTAAGTTCAACTTATCCGGCGCGGTTGTTTCAACTTCAAGCTTCTCTTGAGAGAACGCTGAGCCCAATCGAAGCTCAGCGTGCCAGCGCATTCAAACTCATTAAACATAACAATCAAAAGAATAATCCAACACAGACCATTCAGCGAATTAAAATACTTAATACCGGCTGTTCAATATTTGACATGTTACAACATAACATTGTCAAGTACCTTATTATAAACAAATTTAATAACTTTTATTGAATACTTAAATGTAGTTTAAAAATGAGATAAATCATTGAACGTAACCGCTGTATTTGATTTGTTTGTTCGGCTTGGCACGCTGCCGTTTTTGAGTGTTCTTTGTGTCTTGTCCACGGTAGCAGCTGAAATTCATTCGTCATCGCAGACAGAACATAGTTCCTTGAAGCTATTCGCTTCGTGATCCCGTTCAACCGATATCTTTATCCCTTCAAAGACGCAGGAGTTCTAGATGTGTGTGGCTGAGTACTCGAAGCAGGGACTCCCGAAATCTGTTGCCGCAATGAAAAGCAACTCGCTCTCTTCTTCGACCAGGAGGTGGCGGTACGAGATGTTTGGGCGGTTCGTCGTTGTTCTGATGACGGTGGGATCAGGCCCGATCTTGTATGCCCGCTTGAAGTCGGCCTCGCGGGACGGAGGCAACGTGGCGGTGATGAAGACGCGACGCGGACAGATCTTTTCCGTGAGGTCGCCGAGCCGTAACATTTTTGGCCGGAACGCGCTGTTGGACTCAAAGATGAGGTGGGCCTCGTCAACAACGCACAAGTCAATCTGGGCGTGGGTGTTCTGGCAACAATGAGTATCTACAACTCTTGGAAAGTTCAATGGCGCCAAAAGCTGAAGTTAAGGTTTCATCCCAAGATTCTGTATATAATGTATAGCGGCATAAAGGAGTCATACCAACCTAGAGGTGGAAGAAGAAAACTGCTTCTCGTCTTTAGATTACCTTCATCTTCATAACAATACTATTCCATTCATCAGCTCGATTTCTCATCTCAAAATTCAATTACTCTTGCATCACTTTCAGCATCATGTCCCACCGTCCTTTTTGTTACCTCTGTCTCTGGCTTTTGCTGCTCTATTAAATTCCAAAGCTCCCGATTACGGCAACGATGGTGTCTAGAACACTTGGTGCATCCGCGCCATGGCCAAGTTTCCGGCTGCAAATCGGCAGTCTGAGAAATTTCGACCTGGATTTATTTCAGAAGCCAATGGATTTGAGTTAATTGGCCGTCCAGTGTTTGGATGCTCCTTGAGAGAAGGAGACTAAATGTCACAGACTCTCGGCATGGACAGATTGACGCGATAGAGGAAGAGAGAGCCGATACTCATAGCCACTGTTTTCGGAAGCGATTATTGCAGTGTTAACAAGGGGGGTTGACTTGATTGGGGGCAGAAAGGGGGAACACAGAACGTGTACGGATACTGTTGCAGTTTTGTTCGGGGGTTTAGTTGCCAATTTACGCATCCCGGTTGCGTGATTGGACGATGCAACTCTACAAGTCCTAATTACACGATCAACCAAACGTGAAGGAATAATGATTTTCATGGGGATCCGTCGACCCAAATATGTTCAGGAGAGCTCAGCCAAAAATAGACAGCTTGTTGTTCCTTATGTCAGTGACTAGCCGTGTTTCCGCACTCTTTCTTATCCCCGCCCTATTGCATCCTGAGACGCGTCAGTCCACCAGCCCCCCGCAAGTTTTCCACTACGTCTCCCGCTAAGGACCGAAAAGAGAGGGAACCAACTCGAGTTTGGGTAATTAGGGGTGGATCGTCATCGCGAACGGAGATCACCCCCCACCACCCGCAGCACGCTAAGACGGAAAGCCGGGACGCTACCGTCTTTCTGTCTCCCTGTTTCTTGAGCCTCCAGTCCAACCCGGCCCCCCGGCAAACGAGCGTCGTAAGCAACATTGCAAACCTTCGGCATTCACGGCTTCAATTGTCTACACATATGTTTCAGTCCAACCAACCATACCTGGGTTTTTTTTTCTGGCGCTCAGAGCAACGCAACAAGAACCAAACATTGAACAGCTAAAGCTTTAGTGCGAAACCGTCGAAATCCTCTTAATAAGATGGACCCCGAGCTCATGCCAGTGGGTTACGAGGTTACATGGGCGTCGGCTATAGACGTCAGCGGTGGAGAGAGGGAAGATTGAAATTGGGCCCGCGTGTTGCACAGCCCGTTTGATTGAATGCCCTTTAACTCGGTGGCTCTTCCGCCCAGCTTGGCGGCCCCTTTCGGCCCTCGTTTACGTCTACGTCGTCGCTGTTGTTGTTGATTGTCGTTGTTGAAGCCAAGCTTTTGCCAATACATTGGCGTTGCGATTAGGTTTTCTTGTCGCTCTTTCAACTCCCCACCAGCCGAACATATCGAGATGAAGCCATCATTAGGACTGCCGGCGTTGACCGTGGGTTTGCATTTGGCGAGTGTGAAAGCCATTGATGTCACATGGACAGACCAAGGTAGGGCGTCTGCTTTCACCGATATACCTCTCCTTCGCTAACGCATGCTGGGATATCAGACTCAATAAAGAGCGCCGCAAGCACAGTAGCATACGGACTAGTGAAATACTATACGGGGAATAATACTGGCGATACCCCTGGAAACTTACCAGATCCCTATTACTGTAGGTAAAATCCATGGGATAGTCTGAGAAACTCGCGTTGACAAGCCCAAGGGTGGGAGGCCGGTGCCATGTTCGGCACATTGATAGACTACTGGTGGCTTACGGGTGACGACTCTTACAACAAAATCACTACACAAGCCATGCTTCACCAAGTCGGCGACGACAACGACTACATGCCTCAGAACCAGACCCTCACGGAAGGAAACGACGACCAGGGCTTCTGGGCGATGGCCGCCATGTCCGCAGCCGAACACAAATACCCGAACCCGCCAGAAGGCTCACCGCAGTGGCTCGCCCTAGTCCAAGCAGTCTTTAACGAGTACGTCTCCCGATGGGACACGCAGAGCTGCGGCGGCGGCGTGCGATGGCAAATCTTTACGTGGAACGCCGGCTTCGACTACAAAAACTCCATCGCCAACGGGTGCTTCTTCAACGTGGCGGCACGCCTGGCGCGGTACACGGGGAACACGACATACTCGGACTGGGCGGAGAAGGTCTGGACCTGGGAAACGAGCGTCGGGCTGCTCACATCCGACAACAAAGTGCTGGACGGCATCCACTTTGAGGGCAAGTGCCCCAGCTCTACGGATAGCACACAGTGGTCCTACAATGCCGGGATTTTTCTCTACGGCGCGGCGGTGATGTACAACATCACGGGGAACGACACGTGGAAGACGCGGCTCGACGGGATGCTCACGGACGTCCAGGGGGTGTTTGTCCAGAACGGCATCATCTACGAGGCGTACTGCGAGCCTACCGCGCAATGCAGCCAGGACGCGCAGAGCTTCAAGGGGTACCTCGCGCGGTGGCTGGCCGCCACGTCGCAGGTCGCCGCGCACACCGTCGACACAATTACGACGCTGCTGCTGGCAAGCGGTAAGAAGGCGGCGCTGAGCTGTTCGGGGTCGCCTGCTTCGGGGTTCAAGGGCCAAGCGGGGACGGCGTGCGGGTTCTCGTGGCTGAATGGGACGTTTGACGGATTGGTGGGCGTGGGACCGCAGATGTCGTCGCTGCAGATGATTATGTATAACCTCGTTGACACGGCCGAGGTTCCTGTCACTGCTACCACGGGAGGAAATTCTACAGGAAATGTCAATGGAGGGAAGACCGATGATGGGTCGGGGTCGGGGTCGGCGAATCCTCTCAAGGCCATTACTACCGCAGACAAGGCCGGCGCGGCTATCTTGACGATCATGGTTACGGCCAGTGTTGTCGCTGGCACTGTGTTTCTCATCATGTAGAAGCTCTTGTTGATATTGAAGCGAGTTTTGATTCTTTGAACAATGCGAAAGCAGCGCCACACCGAGGTGACGGAGGTGAACTGTTCGGTGAAGGCTGAAGCGATGGGCAGACGAGAGACACGATTTCGTGCCAATCATTCTGAAGCGACGAGTCTAAAGTTTGCTGCCCAAGCTCGGCATTTCCTGCCAGTCTTAAATGCTTTTTGGGCATGCGTTTCGCTTCGGGGCCTCTGAGAAGCGGGGAAGACAGAAGCTCAAGACAAGGTCTCCCAAGTCTAAGGATTTCTGCTCCATGCATTCTTTGAGAGATGTACATTGTACAAAGATGCGAAACGAAACTCTGATCGATGTCGCGATAGTTAGACCATACAGACTTTGTCCGATTCCGTATGCCCTGCATGCGTCCGAACAAGTCTTTAGGATCGGGAAGCGTGTCGAGCTTGGGCACATGGAGGAAACGTGCCTGTTGTGGGTTGTCTTGCGCGATTGTGGGATGGTTCGGCTGATTGATAATAATTAAACAATTTAGTCTTTCGGAAAACTGGTCATAACAGTGAAAGCTTCCATGCATTGGATATGCGCCATGAGGTGGGCAGACTGAAATGAACCGTTGCAAACACCGGGTTGGAGTCGAGTCTGGGGAATTCACACTCTCGGGCAAAGGCAAGGGCGCCGTTCTCGGAGATATCGGAGTTGGTGCGCACCGACCGTCGGCGAGGGTGGTGGTGCTCATCCTCATCGTCTCAACCCAAGGGAGCCCGAGCCAGTTGGTTTTCATGTTCCATACCCTTAAGTAAAGTACCTACCTTGACGATGATGTTGTGCGCAAACTGGAGGAATGTAGTCAACTTGTAGTCGCTGGAAAGATTGGCCTCACCTGTCGAGTGAGAGCATAACGCCGAGTAAATAGAATGGTCTCTGCCGAGAATCTCGGAGGTACTGGCGGAGGTACTGGCTACCTTATGCACCGGACCGCGGCGGCTCACCGAACCTCACCTTGGCTCGGTCTGTCGCCATGCAAATCGGGGCCTTCCGGTGAGCTGATCAGGGTCGCTTCCGAGGTGAGGGGAACCAATGGGAAGCGTTGCATTGCTGGCGGCGGCCGATGCAGGCGCCCCGCCCCACCCATCATCGGCTTGCCGGTCTACCTTAACCTCCGACCCTCGATCGGTTCCCCTGCTCCATTCGGCTGGCTGCCATGCTTGTTTTTCCCCCATTCCCTGTGCACAGAGGGTGGCTGGCACCAGATCGACCACCGTCCTTCTTCCCACCCCCACCTACCACTGCTGTTGCTGCTGCGCCTTTCAGTCGACGTCCTTTCGAGTCTATCCCACCAATCCCAACAAACATCCAAGAGTCGCCAAAGACAACCTCCAACGCCAGACAACCAAACACCAAGCAGCCAATCTCACAGCTTACCGCCTTTTCGCGCAGGCAGCTGTGTTTCTGACATGCTCTAGGCTCGCGTCCTGGGCACGCCTCATGTCTCTGCGTGGGTGAAGATCCAAGAGCCAAGAGCCAAGAGCAAAACAGCGTCGCAGGATTCCCCCCGCCATTTGTCAGCCTTCTCTACTCTGGTTGCCGAACCGTGTGTGTCACCACTACCGCACTCTATCGAATCCTGTCCCTCAAACCCCAATCCAAACCTTCGTGATCCTTCCCTCCCCGACAAACCACCGCCACTGCGAACGACCAGCCTTCCCAGCGACGTCTGTACGTCCCCTAGACACACGAAAGATCAAGGACGACGGCCGCCATGGATAACTTCTCGCCGACAAGTCAGCAGTCGAACCCCACGACACCAGCCAACGCAATGAGTGCTAACCCCCACCATTCGCCAAACTCCCCGACGATCCACGACTTTCCCGCCCTCAGCCGCCATGGCGCAACCTCAATACCCCCCGATCAGCCCGTGGCCATGACGGCCTCCGGCCAGCCAGCCCTCAATCCCCGAAGCTGCGTCACCTGCCGCCGGCGAAAGGTCCGCTGCGACAAGCAGATGCCGTGCAGCAACTGCCGCCGCGCCGTCATCCAGTGCATCTACCCGGCGCCCGGCCGCGCCCCCCGCCGTCCCCGGCCCAAGGACCCGAATGCGCCGCCCAAGAACTCCAGCGAACGCGAGGTCGAGCTCATGAAGCGCCTGCGCAAGCTGGAGGGCATCGTGGAGGAGCTCAGCGGCCAGATTGAGGTCGAGAGCGGTACGGGGAGCAACAGCGGCCGCCAGAACTCCAGCACGGGGAACTCGCCTGAGGCTTTTGGCAACGACCTGAGCTCCGACCGCGCTGGCAGCTCGCAGAGCGGCGCTGCTGCCATGAGTGCTTTCAAGGAGGCCGTGACGCCCAACAGGATGGAGACGGATCCGGAACCCAGGAGGCCTGCCGAGAGGCAATCTGGGATGAGTAGATCGTTTGGCCGACTTGTGCTTCACGACAAGGGAAAGACGAGCAGATACGTGAGCAGCGCATTCTGGTCAAAGCTCAATGACGAAGTGAGTCACCCGAGTCATGTTTTGCCTTCCTCGTTGCTGACAAGGATACTGTAGCTTGACGAGCTTCGCGAAGAGACGCACGCGTTGGACGAGGATACCGATGATTCTGATGTCGAAGATACGCCAGACCACTCCCCAATACTAGATAACGACGCTGCAACAGACCACCATGCCTTCATTCTGGGGTACCGGTCTTCCGATGTCGACTTACGCAAGCTGCATCCCTTGCCATCTCAGATTCCCTTCATGTGGCAGGTTTACCAGGAGAATGTAGAACCATTGCTCAAGATCCTGCACATTCCGACAATGGAGAAACTCATCCGCGACATGCGACGAAATATAGATGAGCTTACACCCGGAAACGAAGCGCTGCTGTTTTCTATCTACTATGCGGCGATTACGTCAATGGAGGATGAAGAGGTGAGTGACGTCCAATCCCAAGGCGACGTGCAGTGACTGACCAGGCCGCAGGTTGAGAAGAACTTTGGATCAAAGAAGGAAGAGATGCTCTCGCAATATCGCTTCGCTCTCGAGCAGGCACTCGCCAAAGCAAACTTTTTAAACACATCGGACATGGTGGTCCTCCAGGCCTTTGTCATGTTCCTCACCCTGGTCCGCAGGGAGGACGACACCCGATTCTGCTGGACGCTGACCGGGTTGGCGATCCGCATCGCGCAAGGCCTGGGCATCCACCGCGACGGAACGAATTTCAATCTCCCCCCTTTCGAAACCGAAATGAGGCGCCGCTTGTGGTGGGCCATCTGCACGCTAGACCTCCGGTCTGCGGAAGAGCTCGGCAGCGATCTCACAATCATTGACCGATCTTTCGATACCGACCTGCCTTCTAACTTGAACGATGCAGACATTGAACCGGGCATGACAGAGGTGCCGAAATCGCGCCTGGGAAAGACGGACTGCGCCGTGTCGCTGGTGAGATATGAAATTTGCTCGCTGTCGAGACGGCTCCACACTGTCGGATCGGCCATGCCTGGCGTCTGCCCACGGGATGCTGCGTCGAGTCTCGAAGAGCGCGAGCGCATGCTGATCGAAGTGTACGACCGGGTCGAGGAGAAATTCCTCAAGCACTGTTTCACCGATGACGACCCTCTGTTCTGGATGGCGGCCATGATTGCCCGTGTCATCATGGCCAAGATGAGCCTGGTCATTTACCAGCCGCTGCTGTTCCCCGGCAACGGCCACGAACTCTCCAACGAGGTCCGCGACAGGCTCTTTATATCAGCCATTGAGATTGTCGAGTATAATTACATCCTAAACACAGATCCCCGCTGTAAGCAGTGGCGGTGGCTCTTCCAGACCTATCGACAATGGCATGCGATCGCCTACGTCCTCATGGAAGCCGGACGGCGGCCGTGGTCGGCAACATCGGAGCGAGGTTGGGAAGCCGTCAACAACACGATGCGCTTCGATAGGGACCCGTCCGAAATCTCGAGAATGGCAGATCACATGGCCGTGTGGGTCCCGTTGCGGAAACTCAGCGCCAAGGCGACGAAGCATCGAGAAGCAGAAATCGTCCGTCTCAGAGCCGACCCGGATGCGGCGCGCCAACTGGACGTGGACGATCGTATGAATCCCATCCCGGCTAGGCTCGGTCCGGTGCCCGGAATGGAAATCAAACACTTGCAGATTCGTACCCGCTGGCGGAACCTGGTACGGACGGACGGCTCCAGCCCGCTGCCACCGCCGGCCAACAACGCAACACAAAACCAAGCCGTGCGGCAGCAGCAGCAGAACGCGACGCCTCGTGGTCCGGTCATCCAGCCCTCAAACCCGACAGTCCAGGCCCCGACGCCTACACCCCAGGAGAGGGAACCCGAGTTCATCGACACGGTGATGATGGCGCGGGGGTTCAACCCTTACCACATCTGGGAGTCCATCTATCCAGCGGCGGAGTCCATGGCAGCCGACCCGAATAACACCCTCTTCCCGCCCAGCGTCTCGCAGCCGCAGGCGTCGCAGTCCATGATGTCCTCGGCCGTCCCGTCGCCCGCCGTGTCCACTGGCCAAAGCCTCGACGGCGACCAGCGACTGAAGCAGCAGGCCATCGCGATGCAGTCCCAGCCCGCTGTCGCGTCATCGTTGGGGGATAACCAGCCTCCGTGGCTGTGGTCTGACCCGTTTACATCGATCAATAATGTGCCTGTTGATTCTATGGATGTCAACATGGACAATTTGGACGACTTTAACTGGCAGAATTGGCAGGAGAGCATCAAAGGGTTTGAGATGGATCCGGATAACATGCCCCAGAAGGGAGCGTGGTAGGATGTATAATGTGTGGGATGAGCGCGGTTTAGTAGACGTGGGTTTGGATGTCTCCTCTCAGGCGAAGGCTCTCGGAGAGCCCATGTAATGATACCCTCGGAAGCGGAAGTAATGAATGATGATGGATTCTTACACACCAAGTTCGGCGTAGCCTATTGCCCTTGACTCTTGCGTCCTCTCTTTTTGTGCATTCATCTTCCGGCCTTTACTCGGGTAGGTTATTCAACCCGCCAAAGGCATGGCAACCTTCACATCATGAACAACTGCGCCCGGACTCGGAATCAGAAACAAGCTTAACCTCATGACAAGACCACAACACCATTGCCAGGCCTCCAGAGACCAAAAAGATGGACGATCTGGGAATCGAACCCAGGACCTACCGCATGCTAAGCGGTCATTATACCACTAAACCAATCGCCCATGTGGGATGATCTAGCCCGGACTTGAACCGGAGACCTTCAGTGTGCCAGACACGAGAGATGGAGCTCTTGGACTGTTAGACTGACGTGATAACCAACTACACCACCAGACCAATATTTGATGAAGATTGTGGGAGAGTAGTCCCGGTTGTAGGGTAACGACGTGGAGTTGGTGCAGGTTGTGAGGTTGGCGTCGAGCGGATGGGGACCAGCTTGGGGATGGGGTTGAGACGGATGAAGCAAGTTGCGGCTCTCTTCCGTTCGTTTGGTGGCTCTACGGTAATAAGTGCACTAGGGTTTGATTGTGATGACATCGAACTATAGAATGATTGTTCCATATTGGAAGTGTATTCTCACCCACTCCCATAGCCTCGAGGCGAAGTAGGATCATGTACGCCGTATATTGTGCCATGTTGATCAAGTGTAAGCCCCCCGAGGCTGACGGACGGGGCTGATTTCCTCCAGGCGGGAGGCCCCGCCGCCGCAAGTACCTACCTATGTGTGCCGATAAATACCCTCCGCCACCGGCCCGACGAATTGCGCGTGGGAAAGAAAGCCGAGTGACCAGATCTGACCGACGCGAATGAGTGCGGAACAGCAAACAAAGCGGATGTTTAGGGAGCAGTTGTATGAGTCAAAGTCGAATTCCCCTGTAACCAACCAAAACCACTATTCAGCTCACCAGTCCGACATCATCTCCAGCTATACCTATACCTCACGTCTTGGCGAATTGATAATTCATTTGATTTCAAGTTTGTGAAGAGAAACCCGTTTGTTGTAGGTTGTGGCACAGGACAAAGAACGAAACGGAGATTGAAAAAAAAACATGGATCTCAATTACTTGTATCCCCGCGTCGGCGTCGCGGCCATCATCCAGCGCCGGGACGGCAAGGTCGTCATCGGGAAGCGCGAGAGCAGCCACGGTGCAGGTGAGAACTGAAACCCTCGTCATGGATCAAGCTGACGGCTTTTGTGGAACGGGTAGGCACACTACAGCTACCCGGCGGCCACCTGGAAAAGGGCGAGTCCTTCTTCGCGTGCGCGGAGCGGGAGACGATGGAGGAGACCGGTCTCGCGGTCCGCGGCGCCGAGGTCGTGACGGTGACGAATGATGTGTATGAGGATCTGGAGCGGCATTATATTACGATTTTTGTGCGGTGCGAGATGGAGGATGAGAACGCCGAGCCTGTTGTGAGTGAAAGATCATCTCCTCCTCCCCCTCCTCCCAGTTTTGTGCGTGGGCAAGGTTGAGAGAACAAAAGACAAAAAAAAACCCCCCAAGATGATGTGCAGTGCAGTCTGCTGACTCCTGAATGATGTAGGTCCGGGAACCTCAAAAGTGTTCTGGGTGGGGGTGGATGTCGTGGCGGGAGGTGAGAGATGTCAACCAAGCGGCGAAGGGGGGCGTCGGCCCTGGCATGAAGCTGTTTTTGCCGTTGCAGAATCTCGTGGAGGGGAATCCTGACCTTGGGCAGACTGCAGACGCGGAGGGCAATTGAATAGCATGAGATGTGCCCTGTATTTTGACGTCATTGAGCACCCATTTACATTGTGGGAGCAAACAATCTTACACAGTATCAAGGGATATGCAGTCAAAAGACAGTTGAGGAGTTTCGAAGGCCCGTGGCAAACGTGCAAGAGGGTCGGACATCTCGAACTTGATCTCAATACCCATCAGCCCTGGCCGTTGGCTGACGGGATTAGGTCAATTCATTCAGAACCTTGTGACGAACAGTTCTTGTAGATCTCTCTCTCTTTGTCAAGCAACAAATGCGCGGGGCACAAACTAGGTACGGCTTCAAAATACAATCTTTGGCTGGTTGAGAACGGGTTAGACTGCCCAAAGCTGGGCCACTGGGAACCAAAGTCCCTTTAAACACTTTCTGCGCGTGGCATCCGGGGAGGGATTCGGTCACTGGGGATGCGACCTTTAGGGGAGTGTGACAAGCCGGCTCCCTAGATTGACGGAAACCTCGCTACATTTTTTTGTCTTCTGCCCTGCGCGAATAGAAGACTTACCGCTCTGACGGTCTGTAATTTGTAGTAGTCCCGTAGCACCGAAGTGAATCCCATACCGCTCTCGACTCCCAGTTACAGTGATAGTGATGCCTTGTAGCGATGCGTGCGCGCAAGGAACCGCCGAGTTACTGTCCAAAGAACACTACCTTGGGTATGACAGCTCTCGTAAAGTACCTAGAGGACCCCCGCCCCCGGGACATCGCTCGCCGAATTTGTAGCCGAGTCGCAAACTTTGAAAATAAAGAATAGATTACTTTTTAGAGTTGAATTAGGCCCCGAAGACCTCCGGTAGTAGTATGTGGTGAGCGATTCCCGGCGGCGGCCGACCCCTGCCTTTCCTTGACCGAGGCTGCAGCCGAGATTTGTCAATTTGAAATTTCTCTTTGATGAGGGGGACCGGGGCTGGAATCCTTCTGCCTGGAGGATTTGCTTCAAGCCTTCACGATGGCCCCATCTTCAACACGACGTCGACTCCGCGGTGTAGGGAGAATGTCGACATTCGTGAAAGCGTGTCGGAGGAGAACTCCGTGAGACGTTGAACTCGTGTTGACATGGGCTGCCGGGTTCGCCTCCCATCGTTCAGGTCTGTCGCATAGCTACTGACTTTTCTTCTGTGATTACAATTCTTCAGTCGCGAGCTTTGAAGGACATGTCTGTTCATAGTCTCCTGGCATCGATACTCCCCTCCATCTGTTGGAAACCGGACTAGGTCTCGCTGGGCCGTGAACAACTCGGCCGACACAGTAGAAACTGCACGACAATAAAAACTCTGTAATCTGCTGTGATTGACCAGTTTGCCGCGCAGACTGCGTTGGCAGCCGGGCCATACCACCGCCCATATGGCGTGTATCTGAAGCGGCAATTCAACAGCGATCAGTGGCTTAGACCAAACCCTGGACATCCCCCCATCAGAAGCATGAGCTTGGCGGCTAGGGTTCCACTGCCCTCCTCGATTCTGGGACGGTCCTGCAGCCTTGATACGAGTCTATCGAGAGCGCATGGCACCGGCTGGGCAGTGTGGGCGTTGTCGTTGGTCCAGCTCTGCTACGACTCTCCGAGAGAGGCAGAGTTTCAAATCTCACTTGCATCCCGCTGGCCCTGTCATCTCAACTCGCATATGCACGGTCGTTGGCCGCTGACAGACTTTACGACCCCAGCATCGCTACGACAGGCCATCTTCTCTTCGCCCTGCCGACCCCCCCTGGGTTAGCGGGCGCACCGTCGCGTCAAGGGTCAAGGCCTTGCCCATTGGACACCGTCCCGTTGCCTACGACATGATGGGGGCACATCGCAACTTGCGGCTGTCGATGCTGCTATCCCCCTTGGGGAAATGCCTTTCGAGATGGACTACCGAGGTCGAGCAAAGAGGAGACCAAAGTCCCCGTTCTCACGCCCAAAAATGTCAACCTTGCTGCCCGCTGGTAGACGCTCGATCTAGGACGGGGCAAGGATGATGACATGACTTTGTTCTTGCTTTCCCCCCAACGGTCGATCAATCATCACGGAGCTATGTAGGGTCGCTTGTCCTGTGGGTCTCTCCCGGTCTTGAAGCTTGGTGAAGGATGAACCGGGGCTTTAATCCTCTGCCTGCTGCTGGTCGTCTTCCGGGTGGTGAAGTGTATATCTTGACTGCCATCCCTCAGAATCGGCTCGCGGCGTGATCTTCCAGAAATGCTGCTTCTTGACTTCGAGCCGTGTCGTTGCTGAGTCCCACCCACCTTCACTTTCTTTTATCTTCTCTAGTTTCAGGTACCCCGACCATCGATCCATCGAGTAGAGTAGTGGTGGACTATCAGCGAGGCGAGCACCACATATCCCCAATCAACAATGCCGTCAAATTCACCTGAAAGGCACCTGGTCGCATCGGAAAATCACAATATCGCTTCTAGACAGGCATCCCAAGACTCGGATCACGAGGTGAAATATCAAACAGGACTGATGCCCGCCGAATATACGGGCCTCGAGGTCGCCTCGCCCTCGCCCTCACCGGGCATGCAGTACTACCAGCCCGCCCCCGGTGCAGCTCCAGCCGCCACGGCGCCGGGTGGATATGCGCCGTATCACGACCAGCACAACGGCCTGGGGTACGAAAGTCACCAGCAGTACCCCGCACACTCAGCGGCCGGAACGGCGTACGGGGCAAGCCAGACGGGGATACCGCCAAAGAAGAATAAGAGGATATGGGGCATCCCAGCGGCAACGTTTTGCGTAGCGGTTGTTGCTCTGGTATTCTTTCTCGGGACGATTGGTGCCTCGGCTGCTGCGGGAACGATTGCGCAGACGCATGCGGCGTATGTCCAGACGTGTGAAGCGTACGTGAACACAACCAGCAGATTTTTGCAAAGCATTGGGAACACTGACACACGAAAAGCAAACTCGAAAAGTCGTCATCACCGTCGGCGTGTGCGACAAGTGGATCACCCGCAGCATCCGCATCCGCATCGGCCTCGGGGACCGCGGCCCTCTCAGCATCCGCAGCGGCAACGGCATCGTCATCCTCCGCGTCCTCCACCCCGACCTCCTTTACCTCGATCCCGCTGCCGGGCCAAGCATCCTCGATCCTGGGTGAAGCGACGACAAATTGCCCGGATCTCAGCTCCGAGAACAAGACGTACACGGTCCCGGGCTCGAACCTGCGCTTCGTGCGCGAGTGCGGCAACAATTACCCGACCAACGACCTCGGTCACATCCCATTGACGAGGATGGAGGACTGCATGAACCTCTGCGCGGCGCTCGCCGTCACGACGCAGAGCACTGACGGGCCGTGTATCGGTGTCGCGTGGGTGACGGCGGGGAAGCAGGGGACGGATGAGAATTATTGCTGGTTGAAAAGTGCTAAGGGGGCGCCGGATCCAAAGGCGAATATTGAGGCGGCGTGGCTTGAGAGGACGTGAGGGTGGAGGGGGGGCGGGTATGAGCTGGGTGTGAGTGGGAGAGACCTGAGTGAGATGAGATGGAGACGACATGAGACGGAAGATGTCTAGATGATGCTGCCTTTGAGACAATACCACCATTTACGTGTTTATTTTTACTGATGTGTTCGTTCGAGGCTTCTAGCATGTGGTCTCGACGGTTGTGGTGATGTGAATCGGGTGGGCCAAGCTTTGCGTATGTAAGGTAGGTATTTGTGAGAGGCTGGGTTGAGTCTGTGGAACCTCTCCAGAGCACATTCATGACACCATTTGATGAAAGTCAGGTTCGATCGTAAGGAGGAGGCACTGAGACCACCAGTGTAAGAGGTGCTGCGACCGAGGCCGAGGTAGAGGTCGAGGAAGCTGGAGGGGACGAGACGGTAGCAATTAGGGCTTGGAAGACCTTGGCCACCTGCTAGAGGGCGATTCCAACTTATATAGCAAGACAGAGTCTGCTCTCTATTACAGCTTCGAGAAGCGAGTGCGTGTAATGAGAAATGCATTGCTAGAAAGGGAGAAATGGATGTCAGAGGCTTGACGATGCAGGGAGGCGTTTGATGGGGAGAGTAAGAAGCTGGATGTGCACAGGATGACCGATTGAAGCTGAATGCTCATCGATCCTTGGCTCTTTACTTTGTTGGTGTCTTGGTTGGGCTGGTGACTACGGGAGTTGAACGCCAAGGGGAATAGATGTTGATCTCTTCAACTGTCATTCATATAGACACCAATTTACAACGACACAGCAAACAGGACGACTGACGTACTACCAGTGGCAATATTCCCTTTCCATGTCATAAAACCAGTCTTTACTGTAAGAATTACTATAATTAACATAATTTGGTTGGCAGTATAGATGGTTTTAATGAATTACAAGGTAGTCATCCATGTGATTTGAGGTGTCTGGGACTTGCTGATGTCTCCCTACGGGGGACTGGAACAACGAGGGTACATGTAATCTTGGAAAAGCACCATTATAAAATTTTACCCGAGCTGCGATGAACGTCATGTTCACCAAAATCTCACTGCAAATTTCCACCGAGGAAGTCAGGTCAACCGGCTAAAGTACCTTATGAACACCTGGAGTCTTCTCAAAGTTGTTAGGGAAGCTATTGAAGCGTGTTATATGTTATGACCAACAGTTTTGGAACCTTGATGGTTTCTCAAGAAGACCATCCCTCAATTTCATTTTGCGAGACTTTTGATACGGCAGGCACCCAGACTTAAAGACACATGTGCTTGATTGACCTGCAAATCCTATAGTTGTACGAATATTTACAGCTCGAACAGAAACCCTGACTCGGAGACATTGATTCCGAATCCCTGAGAACCAATCCAAGATCATCTGGCAATATACAGTGAAAAGGAAAAAATCAAATACATTGGGCCCCTTACCACTAAGCCAAATCATCATCTCATTGAACTCTTTTTACCGATATCAACGAAAGCTATTTGTGGCCACCCCTTAGCAGCCGGATGTCTTGACATCAGTCTGCACGCAAATGGTCGGATCATCAGCCGCATCGTCAGGCTCGCCGCCGCCGGTGACGCCCTTTGAGTTCTTGCACACCGTGGCACTACCAATGACGCAAGCGCCGTTGATGGTGACCTTGTCGCCGAGGTTGCTGTTGTAGTGGGCGACGGTCTTGCCGCCGTCAACGTAAATGTTGTTGAGGACAGCAGTGCGCGCCGTCTGCTCCTTGCAGTTGCCGCACGAGCGCCAGAACTGGCCGACGTTCTTTGCGTAAAAGTCCGAGACCTCAACTGTGCCGCCGCCGTTGTGCTGGAAGAGCTTGTCCGGGGCGTCGCGGGCGCCGCCGCCCTTGACCGTGGAAGTACCGCTCTTTTGGCGGAACGTGGCGCCGTCTTCGCAGACCTTGTCCCACCAGCTGTTTCACGCTTGTTAGCTTTTTTCTTTGCTGGTGGAGTTGTCACCGTGGGGACCGAGAGGTGGCTTACACGTTGACGAGGTTGCAGCTGCCCTGGCACTGGATACCCTCGCCCGCGCCGGCTCCGATAATGACGTTACTGAGCGTGGCACCGTCGGCGAGGATGAACGCCGCGTCCTTTTGTCCGCCCTCGCTGCCCGTGCAGGTGCTGGGAACGCGGTCAAACATCTTCATGCCGCCGTCGAAGCTGCCGGTGATGGTCCGCGCCGCGGACAGGTTCTCGATGCCGGCTGGGGTAGGGAAGGTCTTGACTATGCCACCGCCGCCACCGGTGCCGGGAAAAGTGCCGTTGCTGACTGTGCTGCCGCCCCCAGATCCTGAGCCACCAGAGCCTGAACCTGAGTCGGAACCGGAGCCGCTACCGCCCTTATTCTTATCCTTGTTTTTATCTTTATTCTTGTCCTTGCTCTTATCCTTCTTCTTATCTTTGGGCTTCTCGGCACTTGGTTCAATATCGGGAGTGTCCCCGCAAGTTTCGTTGTCACCGGGGTTGGAGTATCTAATCTCCACCTTGGCGAGACCTTCGACCGGCACGCCGCGGGGCTGTTGAGGCGTCATGACGGCGCGGGCGAGGCGGCCGACGCCTCCAACGTGTTTGCGGGCCGGCCGCTCGTAGCCATCCGGGCGGATGGGGTTCGCAGCAGCCAGCGCGGCAAGAGAGAAGAGGACCAGCCGGGACGCCATGTTTGAGGATGGTATCGATGAAGTGTTGTTTTTTTTGGTTTTATGTTGCTGCTAGTACCAGACTTGAAGGAGAGTACAGGAAATCAAAGTAGACACAAACGAGATGAAGCAGTGAACAGATGTGGGAGAACGATTTGTTTGAAGGAGGGAATGAAGAGAATGTTGGTTTGGCGATTAGAGCCTGGATGAGAGAGAGCATCTGCTCATAAAAAGGGGAGGACGAGGGTGGTCTTATATCCCATGTCCAGAATCACTAGTTTCGTGTAGTCTAAGCCCTTGAAGGCGGTTTCTCATCGCGCCTGAGCTTGCCCCTATGCTCTACAAATTGCAAAATGATTTAGTACAGAGACACCGGTCGCCCACCGAAAGACCAAGGCCAAGTGTTTGTATATTTGGTGACCGCCGAGCCTCTCCACAATCTCGTGTAAATTGATGAAATCAGCAAGACCACTTATTATGCAAGAAGTGGGCTAGGACTCGGTCTTCTTGCACGGGAGTACTGACATTTGGGCCAAGATTCACAGCTTCATTGCTACAATAAGGGCGGCGGCATCTCTCAGCAGGAGGCATGAGCAATACATGGCCAGTCAGTGCCAAGCAACTCGAGTTGTCAGGGTTAGCAAAGCATCAACGTAGAACTCGTTTTGGTACAGCTAGATAATATTAGTCGTCTGGTATAGATTCGATCCGGCTGGGATGGCAGCTCGAGCGGGGGATGATTCGAAAACTTTGCCCGTTCGTCCCGCCTGGATGGTTCAAACTTGCTATCATCTGGTGTAACCTGCCAAGAGTGCGAAGAAGGATTCAAATAAGCCAAGGTGGAGAGCGGAGCGGCTTGATTGCACATCATATGTCAAACTTGCTAATGGTCTGGGCATTTTTGAGTTTGTGGCCTTTTGGCTGGCCGCTGGCTGGAGGGACTTGTACTTTTTGCGGTGTTTCTGCTGCCTTTGCTGCTTTTACTACCTGCCCCAGTCCCTGACGGAATTTTTAGAAGAATTACCCCAGAGGTGGGTTCCTGTCCCCAATCTACTTGACTACTTTCCGGTCGAGGGTTGTACGTCGGCCCAGCTGATTAGTCTACGGATCCTGGAGATCTCGTGGGCGGGCACGGGGACGGTTGCTATCCGTGCTGGAAGCCTCTGCTGGGTTCCCTCCAGTTTGAGGGAGGACTCCATGTCATTGACTGATATTTTCACTCGGAGTTCTGGGTATGAGGAACACTGGGGTGCGGGTGGCCCTCTTCTAGTATCCGCCTCGCTGAGCTCAACTTCATCTTAATTTGAGGCCCAAAGTCTGTCGAGCCTGATGCATCTTTAATGACAGACAACGATGCCAGGCTTTTTGGTTCCTGAACCAGGCGAGACATTCGTTCCCAACTCTCCAGGCCCGGCATGGGTCAACTGGTCACCAGGCCCGAAAAAGTGCCTCGTCACAGCCCCTGGGGGAACTTTGGAGAGGC